GGTGTCGACATCCTGAAACCCATTCCCACGCTCTTACGGTTTTCCCTACACAAGCTACTTAGGCTGGCAACATTGGTGGCCTAATTAAGAAGTTTGATCCCACAAACATTCGTATACAAGGGTCTTCGTCATCCATAAAGATGTATGGGTTACCCACATGTCATAAGAATATCTCGTCACCAACACCGTATCTCTTTTACCTTTCCTCTACCATCTGGAAACTTGTCTTGTGGAGTCTGTCATCAACGTGTTGACAACAATTATGGAGCATACTCGTGCAATAAATGTGATGCATATTTTGTTCATTCAAAATGTGCATTTCATAGAAATGTGTGGGATGGAAAAGAACTCAAAGGAGTATCAGAAGAAAATGATATAATAGATGATGGTGAGCCATTCGAGAGGATAGCTGATGGAATAATACTCCATCCGTATCACAGTCACCATCTACGACTTGAGATCAGCAAAGTTTATGATGAAAATAAGTATTGTCGAGGGTGTTCTTTTCCAATCTACCAAGGTCACTTCTATTCATGCATGGAATGTGACTTCATCTTCCATGAAAGTTGTGCAAATGCTCCACGCATGAAACGACATCCCTTACATCCACACCCACTTACACTAAATGTTGCCACCAAAGGGTTTGGTGATAACGAAGGCATATACCATTGTAGTGCTTGTGGTCGTAGCGGTACTGGCTTCTTCTATGAACATCATATAGGAGAAAAAAGATTCCGGCTAGACTTGAGGTGTGCTTCAATTAGCGAACCATTTGAATATCAATGCCACAAACATCCCTTATTCCTAGCTTCGGAGCTAGAGAAAAAGGTACGATGTCAAACATGCAAAGGGAGAAGCTATTCAAAATTAAATTGCATGGAATGCGATTATGTTATATGTTTTCGTTGCGCTACCTTCCCATACAAGGTAAGGTACAAGCACGACAGTCATTTTCTTAGAATTTGTGATGGAAAAAAGGCAAGTGATGAACCAGACTGGTGTGAGGTTTGCGAACGCAAAATAGAAGAAGTAAAAGAAAGAGAGTCTCCGTGGGACGAAAGAAGAGAAATGCGATTTTATAAATGCAATGACTGCTGCACGACTCTTCATGTTGAATGTTTACTTGGGAGAGACATGTACATGAAACCTGGTAATAGTGTACAAGATTACATTTCGAAGCACTCACTAGGATTTGAAGGTACAAAATGGACAGATGTTCGAGTTTTTCTCAACAGTTCGCTTTCCCGACCAATTTGCACTGGATGTATGCGCCGTTGTCCATTCCCAATAGTTTTCAAAGGCTACAACACAATCTTTTGTTCTTGGGATTGTATTGGATATGGCGACACGGTGTTTGATCATCCATCGAGTAATCCTTTTTCCTCTATCACAGAATTGGAATTAATTTGAAGTATACTGACATTTCACTTCTGTTATTCGTAATTTTCATTGTGAGATGTATAACTTTGTCTTTTTTTCTTTGATATTTTGATGTAATTTATTTACATGTCCTTAAATTTTAATATATAGTTTTACAAGAAACAAATATGGAATGGCTAAGGCTAAGCATTTGATCGCTAGTACCGCCGACTGTACTTGTTGGAAAGAAAAACACGTACTGAGTTAATGGGCCGACACTAAAAGCCCATATTGATTTAAAGAGAAATTGAAGAGCCTTTTCGTTCTTTGGTCTTGAAAACGACACTTATAGAAGAATGACTCAATTTTTTGTTAGAATTATCGTAGAAAGATGCCATTCATAGAAGTGATTACGAAGATTTAAACGCAGTAGAAGAGATATTGATGCGTTTTGTTTCTTATAGTCATTGATCTGTTAAAGTCTCAATCTTTGAGGTCATGAACCATGGCAGTGACCGGAGTTTCTTCTGCTTTTGGCCGTCTTTTCAAACAAGTTATAAATAACCCACAAGCTTGTTATCGCTACACGACCCAAATTCACAGGTCAGATTCTTGAGCACCTTGAAGGCGGTAATGTCTCAAAAGCCGTCTCTGCTCTCTTTGCTTCTCCAGAGCCAGTTGGGTATTGGCTATACGAGCGTCTTTTCCGTCCTTGTTCCTCGAAATCTCTTCTTGTGCAAGCCCGTAAAGTCCAATCCCATTTAGTAACTTTCTCTCCGTTGCCTCCGAGTTTCCTCTTGAACAGAGCTATTGAGGCTTATGGGAAATGTGGGTGTGTTGATGATGCACGGGAACTGTTCGAGCAAATGCCTGAACGAGATGGTGGTTCTTGGAACGCTGTGATTACTGCTTGTGCGCAAAATGGCGTCTCGGATGAATAGAGATGGAGACTTCTTTTGCTGGTGTTTTAAAGTCATGTGGTTTAGTCTTGGACCTGAGCTGCATTGTGCTGTGGTGAAGTATGGGTATTCGGGTAATGTAGATTTGGAGACTTCCATTGTTGATGTTTACACCCGAGCAGTGCGCTGTTCCAGAGACAACCAGACTGGGTTATATATCATGATCTTGTGATGACTACGAAAGAGTACATGAGGGAAGTGACTGTGATTGACCCAAAATGGCTTGTTGAGTTAGCTCCAAGGTTCTTCAAAGTGTCTGACCCAACGAAAATGAGCAAGCGTAAGCGCCAAGAACGGATTGAGCCTTTGTATGATCGTTACCACGAGCCTAACTCATGGCGTCTCAGCAAAAGACGTGCTTGACAAGCTTTTCCTTTTGGTAAATCCATTCTTCTTCCTTTCGTTTATTTTGCCATCTTCAAATGTACTCCTTTATTTATGTATTGAAAGCTAAAAAAAGCTAACACAAGTGATGGATGAGCCATAATAGATTACACAGCTGCATCATCCGTTTTTTTTTGTTGACATGTATGAAAATTTGATGACTATTCATCTTTGTTTGTACTAGTCCAATGTCATTATAAATTTTGTCTAGGACATTTAGGTCTGTGTTTATTATTCAGTCTCATAGAAGAAGTTTGATCTTTAAGTTTTGGTAAACTTGTGACTAGTTTACTAGATATGGATATGTCTTGAGCATTCGCCGCTGTAAGTTGTAATCTCTGTACTGTATTCAAACAACTCACAGATGCTGTACAAACAATTATGAATCTTTTTGCAATTTATATTTATCGTAGTGTTTGATTGGTAGCATATTTGGTGGTACACCACTTATCGCATCCGTGATTTGTTCCGTTTGCTAATGGCTTTGGGGCGAGAACCAGGCTGAGCGGAAAAGGAGACCGTTGGATGTATCTCGAGGTTCGCTATGTGGACCATTCATACGAACACATCCATTAATACTTGTAAGGTTTCTTGACAAGAATGTTTCGTTCTAAAAAGTTAAAACAACTGCATCGATCAAAACACTCGAGTGGTCGAGATAGAGAATGAGTGCGAGACAAAAACCTCAAAGCCCGTTTTCGAACAGAGAGAATGTTCGTTCGCCTCTAGAAAACACCTTCTATTAAAACGACACCGTCTTTTCCTGTGTAGCTCTCTTCTTCTCCGTTCCCTAAACCTTTCGCTCTTGTATAATCACCGTTTTCGGGAGACAGTAGCTTATATGCGGAATTTGGAATCTACCCTTCTTCAATGTCCGTAACATGTGAAGGTACATAATTTTCAATTCCTGATATAGTTGCTGCAGCCTCTTTCTTATTTTGATTCAATACCATACTTTGTTTGTAGTCTGCAATTCCCGAGTGATTTTAGGCTAACTTTGATTACGTTTTTCTTAGGTTCACAAAGTCTCCAACTTTATTCAGTTTAAACACTTGTAAGAATGTAATAAAGACTCAATTTTCAGTTAGAATTATTGTAGATATGCTTCAATTTATAGGATTTATGGAGTTAATGGATTACGATAACCAAAACGCACTAGGAGCTGTTGATGCATAGATAAAGAGCTTACAATGATCCTTTAAAGTCTCAATCTTTCAGGTTATGAACCATGTCAGTGACCGGAGTTTCTTCTGCTTTTGGCCGTCTTTTCAAACATGATAAAACCCACAAGCGTGTTATCGCTACACGACCCAAATTTACAGTGACCCGTCAGATTCTTGAGCACCTTGAAGGCGGTAATGTTTCGAAAGCTGTCTCTGTTCTCTTTGCTTCTCCAGAGCCAGTTGGGTATTGGCTATACGAGCGTCTTTTCCGTTCTTGTTCCTCGAAATCTCTTGTTGTGCAAGCCCGTAAAGTCCAATCCCATTTAGTAACTTTCTCTCCGTTGCCTCCGAGTTTCCTCTTGAATAGAGCTATTGAGGCTTATGGGAAATGTGGGTGTGTTGATGATGCACGGGAACTGTTCGAGCAAATGCCTGAACGAGATGGTGGTTCTTGGAACGCTGTGATTACTGCTTGTGCGCAAAATGGCGTCTCGGATGAGGTATTTCGTATGTTTCATAGGATGAATAGAGATGGAGTACGAGCTACGGAGACTTCTTTTGCTGGTGTTTTAAAGTCATGTGGTTTAGTCTTGGACCTGAGATTATTGATGCAGCTGCATTGTGCTGTGGTGAAGTATGGGTATTCGGGAAATATAGATTTGGAAACTTCGATTGTTGATGTTTACGGGAAGTGTCAGGTTATGAGTGATGCGAGAAGAGTTTTTGATGAGATTGTAAACCCTAGTGATGTTTCATGGAATGTGATTGTGCGGCGGTATCTTGAGATGGGTTTTAATGACGAGGCAGTGGTAATGTTTTTCAAGATGCTAGAGTTGAATGTTCGACCTTTGAATCACACGGTTTCTAGTGTAATGTTAGCTTGTTCAAGATCCCTGGCCCTTGAGGTGGGAAAGGTAATCCACGCCATTGCTGTCAAAATTAGTGTTGTGGCAGATACAGTTGTTTCTACTTCTATATTTGATATGTATGTAAAATGTGATAGATTGGAGAGTGCTCGCAGAGTATTTGACCAAACCAAATCTAAAGATTTGAAATCTTGGACTTCGGCGATGTCGGGATATGCAATGAGTGGTATAACTAGAGAGGCAAGGGAGCTCTTTGATTTGATGCCTGAACGGAATATAGTCTCATGGAACGCAATGTTGGGCGGATATGTACGTGCCCATGAATGGGATGACGCACTGGATTTTCTCACTTTGATGCGCAAGGAGATTGAAGATATTGATAATGTCACTCTTGTGTGGATCCTAAATGTCTGCTCAGGTATATCAGATGTTCAAATGGGAAAGCAAGCTCATGGTTTTATCTACCGACATGGATATGATATGAATGTAATTGTAGCCAATGCACTTCTTGATATGTACGGAAAATGCGGTACCTTGCAGAGTGCCAATATATGGTTCCGCCAAATGAGTGAACTAAGGGATGAGGTTTCATGGAATGCTTTATTGACTGGTGTAGCTCGAGTTGGCAGGAGTGAACAAGCCTTATCTTTCTTTGAAGGGATGCAAATGGAGGCCAAACCTAGCAAATACACACTCGCAACGCTCTTAGCAGGGTGTGCAAACATTCCTGCATTAAATTTAGGCAAAGCAATCCACGGGTTCCTGATTAGAAATGGCTATAATATTGATGTTGTTATACGGGGTGCTATGGTTGACATGTATTCCAAATGCCGATGTTTCGACTATGCTATTGAAGTATTCAAAGAGGCAGCTACACGGGACTTGATTCTATGGAACTCTATTATCCGTGGATGTTGTCGTAATGGAAGAAGCAAGGAGGTCTTTGAGTTGTTCATGCTTTTGGAAGATGAAGGAGTTAAGCCTGACCATGTCACCTTTTCGGCCATTTTACAAGCTTGCATACGTGAAGGTCATGTCGAACTCGGTTTTCAGTATTTCAGTTCTATGAGCACCAAATATCTTATATTACCACAGATTGAGCATTATGATTGTATGGTAGAACTCTACTGCAAGTATGGATGCTTGCGTCAGCTTGAAGAATTTCTCCTCTTGATGCCTTTTGATCCACCTATGCAAATGTTGACAATGATAAATGATGCTTGCCAAAGATACCGCTGGTCAAAGTTAGGAGCATGGGCTGCTAAACGGCTTTATGAATGATCATCACCTTCAGCCACCATTTATGACTTCAACAAAGAAAGTGTTTCCTGCAGTCATATTGGAGGATATGCACTTAGAAGGAATGCAGACAAATCCGTTGTCTTCTGAAAACCAGGAAGAGCAACAGGAATGAAGCTGTTGAAACAGGATGTGAATAGAATAGTGAGACATAATTAGTCTCTCCTGACTCTCTAAATCATTTGTTTTCTTCAGAAGGTAATCACAAATTCTCAACTCTTCTTTTTCAATTGCTTTTCATGGACTTCTTTAAGAATGTGTGTGCACCTGCATTTCTCTCTATTTGTATTCATTAATCACATTTTTCGTTTTTCCTCTTATTGATGTTTGGCACATTGGTAAGTCTATGTTCTACTTCTAGGTAGTGCTTTGTACTTGATTGGTGGTGACTATTTGAACACTGGTTTCTTTATTTTTAATATCTTTCGTTATCAGTAGTTTCCAGTCAGTGATAGATCTGATGATTGAAGTTTACGTAACATATTATTGTCTCTCATAGTGGGATGAACTTTGTTTTCCTGTTATAATAGTGTACGTCGGTGAAACCTGATTTTCTCGATTATCAGTATGTATTGTGCCAAGACTTTGTGCATTTGAACTTGTGCTTCAATGTTTGTGTCTTGATTTGAAGTTAATGGATCTTGGTTGAAGATGGTATTTATTATTTAAGATATCTCTTAATGAATGAGAAGTGTTTTGAATCTGTCAGTTTTGCTTCTCAAATTCATTACAATGTTGAAATTGAAATCAGGATTTAATCCAGTTTCTGAAATCTTTCAGTTTCTTTATGAAGCTGGTTTAGGTTTAAAGCAATTCACTTCTCGAAGTGGGATTACCAGGATTACTCAACCACGCCGTGTTGCTGTCCTTGCCACTGCCAAGAGAGTGGCATTTGAGCTTGGACTTCGTCTCGGTAAAGAAGTCGGGTTTCAAGTTAGATACGACAAAAAGATTGGCAAAAACTCCTCTATTTCAAGTTTATGACTGATGGGATTTTACTCTGTGAGATTCAGGTAATAGACGGTTTGTTTTGTAGATTATTTTCCATTTGAATCATGGATACATGATTGTATAAGTTCTTCTGCTGCAGAAGGATTTCTTATTGAGGCGTTACTCTATGATTATTCTCGATGAAGTCCATGAAAGAAGCTTGAACACAGACATTCTCATTGGGATGCTCACTCGAGTCATTAAAATCCGACAGGAATACTACGAGGAACAACATAAGAGTCTTCAATCTGGAGGATTAGTAGACCAATTTATCACACCACTTAAACTTATATTGATGAGTGCGACTTTGCGGGTGGAAGATTTTGTATCGGGGAAAAGGTTATTCCCTAATATACCTCCTCTTGTAGAGGTTCCCACTCGACAGTATCCAGTTACTATACATTTCTCCAAGAGGACTGAGGTTGTTGATTATATTGGTCAAGCTTATAGAAAGTGATGTCGATTCACAAAAAGTTATAGGAGGAATACTTGTTTTTGTGACCGGGCAGAGAGAAGTTGACTATATATGCGACAAGTTACGTAAGTCTTTAAAGGAACTTGTTGGTCAAGCTGCTTTAAGAGATGCTTCCGTCAAGAAGAAATGCGATGATGGTTCATTTGGTGGTGTTGACATGAAGGAGATTGCTGAAGCATTTGATGATGACTACAACAGTCAAAATTACAGGTTTAACTCGCATGGAGATGATCCTTTTGAAATTGGTGATGGTAACTATGATGATTTTGAAGAAGAAGACATCTATGAGTCTGATGATGACAGCGACTGGGAAATTGTTGATGACGGCTTTGGAAGTTCATTGGTAGAGGAAGGGAAGCATGATGCTCTTCGAGAAACGTTTAATGCTTTGGAAGAAAATAATGGACCCAAATCTGCTGAGCCCAACAAGGTCCATTGCAGCAGAGAATCAAGAGACAGACCAGGAAATAAACATATCTTCTCCAGGAAAATTACGTGCTCCCACTTTATGCGATGCTATCTCCAGCTGCACAGCTCCGAGTGTTCGAGGATGTTGAGAAAGAAGATAGACTTGTGGTCGTGGCAACAAATGTAGCGGAAACTTCTCTGACTATTTCAGGTATAAAGCATGTGGTTGATTCAGGTCGGGTTAAAGTGAAGAATTATGATTCTAAGACTGGTATGGAAAGTTATGAGGTAGAATGGATTAGTCAAGCTTCGGCTAGTCAACGTGCTGGAAGAGCTGGACGAACTGGACCCGGTCACTGTTATCGTCTCTATTCATCTGCGATTTTTAGCAATATATTTGAGGAGTCTTCACCTCCTGAAATCACGAAAGTTCCTGTTGATGGAGTCGTTCTTCTCATGAAGTCTATGAACATTTCAAAGGTAAGACATACGTAGCCACCATTGTCAAATGGACTATATCATTTCTTCTGTCTGTCTTGATGAATCTTTGCCTTTTTCTGTTGCTAATAGGTTGAGAATTTCCCATTTCCAACTCCGCCTGAGCCATCAGCTATTAGAGAAGCAGAAAGATGCTTAAAAGCTTTAGAGGCTCTTGACAGCAACGGACGGTTAACACCATTCGGAAAGGCCATGTCTCACTATCCCATGAGATTCAAGAATGCTTCTCACAGTCATCCAAATGCTTAAAGAGGCCAGTGATTACTCCCGGGCGAATCTTGTCCTTGGATATGCGGTTGCAGCAGTAGCCGCGTTGAGCTTACCAAACCCTTTGACAATGCAGTTCGAAGGAGAGAAGAAAACCGAGTTTGAAGATGCTGGCAAAATCGTCAAGCAAGAAGATAAACAATGGAGAAAGGAGCGGAAAGAGAAGATCAAAGCCGCTCGGGACAGATTTTCCAACCAAAGCAGCGATGCTTTGACTGTTGCATACGCATTGCATTCCTTTGAGGTCTCGGAGAATGGCGCGGGCTTCTGCGAGTTGAACGGGTTGCATTTGAAGACCATGGACGAAATGTCTAAGCTCAAAGATCAGCTTTTGCGAATTGTTTTCAGCTGTTGTAAGCCTTCTGAAACCGAAGATGGTTTCTCATGGACTCATGGGACTATACAAGACGTAGAGAAGTCATGGAGAATCACCGAATCTTCTTCCTCAAGAAACCCGCTTTTACAGAATGAAGAAGAGCTGTTAGGAGAAGCCATATGTACGGGATGGGCAGACCGTGTAGCTAGAAAGACTAAAGCGACAGAATACCAAGCCTGCCCGTTTCAAGAACCAGTTTTCTTGCACCGTTGGTCATCTCTCATAAACTCGGCTCCATAGTTTTTAGTCTACAGCGAGCTCCTACTCACCAACAAACCGTACATGCACAGAGCGACACGGGTGAAGCCGAAATGGCTGGTGAAGCACGCAAAGTCTCTCTGCGTGTTCTCCGCACCACTCAAGGACCCGAAACCATATTACTCGAGTGAGGGGGATAGAGTTATGTGCTGGGCCGTTCCGAGTTTTGGTTCTCATAACTGGGGGCTTCCAGCTCACAGTGTGGCAATAACAGAGGATATACACCGAGCAGCGGTTTCGGATGCGCTTTGCTTCAAGGAGAGGTATTGCCTTGTTTAAAAAGCGTGAGGGTGTTAATGGCTGGGAAACCTGAAATGTTGTTGGAAAGAGAATGTTGGGGTTTAGAAAGAGTTGGGAGCTTGGTGAGAGTTTTGACAGAGAAGAAGATTGATAGTTTGGAGACTTTGAGAAAGAGCTGGGAACAGAATCCGAATGTGCTTTATGCGGAGATTGAAGCTTGGTTTCAAAGAAAGTTTCGTCATTATGTTAAAGAGCTCCTACTCACCAACAGACCGTACATGCACGGAGCGACACGGATGAAGCCGGAATGGCTGGTGAAGCACGCAAAGTCTCTCTGCGTTTTCTCCGCACCACTCAAGGACCCAAAACCATATTACTCGAGTGAGGGGGATAGAGTTTTGTGCTGGATCGTTCCGAGTTTTGGTCCTTATAATTGGGAGCTTCCGGCTCACAGTGTGGCAATAACAGAGAATAGAGACCGAGCAGCGGTTTTCGGATGCGCTTTGCTTCAAGGAGAGGTATTGCCTTGTTTAAAAAGCATGAGGGCGTTAATGGCTGGGAAACCTGAAATGTTGTTGGAAAGAGAAGCTTGGGGTTTAGAAAGAGTTGGGCGTTTGGTGAGAGTTTTGACAGAGAAGAAGATTGATAGTTTGGAGACTTTGAGAAAGAGCTGGGAACAGAATCCGAATGTGCTTTATGCGGAGATTGAAGCTTGGTTTTAAAGAAAGTTTCGTCATTATGTTAAAGAGCTTTGGCAGACAATGCTACAGGAGGCTCAGGTTGAAAGAGGTCAGAGGAGATGAGTGTGTTTTAAATGTTTTCCACTCCTTTTAATTATTTTCTCTCTTCCTTTTTAAAATGGAACTTGTCAATTTCATCTCCATAAAGAGAAAATTTTGTAAGAAAAATATTGACATTGAAATTTAATGAACAATACTTACATGCTTAATTTTGTTGTAAGACTACTTAATGAAATCTAAGATGATGAGGTGGTTGCAGACTTGCAGCCGTATCAGAACAACAATACTTACATGTTTCTCTATTGGTGTTCATTGATCAAGGTTTTCACTCTTTCCCTCTTAATTTATATTTGATTAGTTGGTAAGTTTATGTTGTGTGTATGCATTGTGCTCGATTGGTGATTATGTGAACTTTGGTTTCTTTTATAATTTTTCCATCAATACAAATAAGCAGGGTTTTTTTTTCTTTTTCTTTATTGTATACTAGATAAGGACCCGTCCGATGGACGGATTTTTTTTTTTTTAAAATTAAAATCAAATTTAACAAAAAATTAATTAACAACGTTGTAAGTAGAAATTTTCTTTCAAAAGTAAAAACAATATTTATTTTTTTACTATTGCCTTGTTTCTTTAACCACTAAAATTATTAATTCAAAATTATTTCGAATGAAAGATATATCACATAACAATAATTCATGGTATACTTATACGAAGAACAAAAATTAAACATATTCATCATAAAGTTGGTAAATAAAACCAAAGTGGTGTTTAATTAGACACGTTAAAAATATAAAGATGATAAATCGACTAAATTCTTTAGCCTTCCAAGCTAACGTGCGGGTTCGGTTCCTATATACTCGATTGCAATAACTTTATGATCAATCAATAAAAATTAATAAATTCAAAAAATTATAAGCACAATGATATATGAATCTTATATAATTCAAATATGAACATAGAAATTGAAATAAACAATTTTGAAATAGTATAATTAAATTCAAAATATCAAAAACAAAAAAGAATCATATATGTTTCTTACATATTCAAGAATTTCAAATAAAAAATTATAAAACTTTACTTAAAATCATCACATATTTCTAATTAGAAAATAATATTGATAAAAATAATATAAATTTGTAATTTAAATCATGACACATGTCGCTATCGAAAATCATTAGAACTATGATATATTATAAATCTTATATAATTTAAACTGAACGTAGAAACCAAAATAAATAATTTAAAGATGCGACAGTTAAACTAAAATAAAAAATTATAAACACGATGATATATGAATCTTTGATAATTTAAGTATGAAAAGAAAAACTGAAATAAACAATCTTATCTAACTATACTACAATCATAATTGAGGACAAACAAAAAAAACAGTTAAGTATAAAAATATTACAAAAAGGAAAAAAAAATTGATCTCACATATTTCTAATTGAAAAAATAAACTCAAATAAATAACATTAGGATTAATTTAATTAAATCATCACATATTTCTAATTGAAAAAGAAATTGAGATAAATAATATCAAATTTTAAATTAATATATAATAACATATGTTTTCTTTTTAATAAATTTGCCTGATTTTTTCTTGTTTAATTGAAATATAAAAAACGTATAATTTCCTT